AACAGGGGGCGGCACAATAACCATAATCCTTCACGTTCCCCATCGATCTCCAGCCTCCCTGTTCACTCCTAGCAGCAGTGGAGCAACACGCGGTGCGTTTTTAAGGACTAGATTCTTGCCGCGGAGAAACAGGTGGAGACCGGCGGAGGCCAGAGATGGGGTGCGCGGCGGGCTGCCCGAGAGGCAGGTTCCCCGTCTTACCTACGATCGAGGAGGAGCCGAGAAGCACGTACGACACCGGGCGGCTACTGTCCGAGTTCGTCACCGTTCGAACTGCCATAGTGCTCACGGACAACCCCCAGACGGACTCGGGCGATTCGCTATGGAAGGAGAGCATCGCCGCCAATCTTCGCGGGATCATCAACACCGGCTGGAGGTTTCCTCGGGGGCACCTGCGCCGCCCCCGCCCGGACAGAAGAACAAGGCTCGGGAGACGGAAGCGCTGCCGTGGATCTCCGAGGTGTCCGAGATCTCCACGTACAGCCACAGCTCAGTGTCGCGGATTGAAGTCAGGCAGGACAACAACTCCGCCGGGACGGTCTCCCTGGTGTCCTTCAGCAAATGGAGGCGGTAAGAGGCCCAGGAACGACGCCCACAGACTCAGAACGTAAGACAGACATTCGCATGTGTCATGCGGAACGTTGCGCATAGGAGATATGTGCCGAGGTTTGAATTGCTGATAGAGAAAATATTGACTCTGGCTACCATCAGAATTTATTCTGAAACGATAGTGTTCGACAATGAGTCGGTACCGAATCATATTTATATATATTTTCAGATCAGGAGCACTATGTGTAAACACGGACTAAGGAGTTTTTAAAACCTCCTTTTGAACATTCATATCCAGGCGAAAAACTGTAGCAGTCAGTACAACACAATAGTCATGCCCTCTATGTCTTTATGATGAATATCTAGATGATACGTATGAATATTGGAGCTGATATAACACCGGGTGGAGATGGTTATTTTGATACCCGGTTTGTATGTACGTACCCGGCTCACACACAGACCAGATTTTCTGTGGATTCTATGTGTGTGCACATTTTATACATGTTATCCTTTAAAGCAAAATGAATATCAGAATAATGTGACGTTTGTATGGATACGTGTAGTCAAATAACTGACAAGATCATAATTGATTGACCTTGCTGTTTTTAAAATAAACAGAACATTACCGGTTGATACATCTGTTGGTTGTCTCGCTAGTTTATTGCTCGCTTCTATCTGTTATAAACAGACGCATCTGTTGACCATTACAAAATAATATTCACAATATTTGGTTATAGAACCATGGAAACGCTGTGAATTGTTCATCTCTCAGGGGAAATCGCTTCTGTCACCTTGTAATCCAATATTCCGGCATACCTTAACCAAATATTGCACGGCGACATCGTTTCATTACCGCCACTCCTCACTTCACTCGAGAATGTTCCACTCCTAACTGAGCAGCGCTCTGTGCAATTAGCAGCAGGAAAAACGTCAGAAGTGAGCTGAAGTACTGCAGTTGTCTGACGTCAGAGGAATAGTTACTGTTTGATTTAAATGAGCAGTGATTGAAACAAGCATGAAAGAAATCTGTCTACATTACCGAGAAAAAAAACACGATCAAAGCCAAACCCACACATGATTTATCAATCAAGTGATGCGGAGAAATTTGACAATTCATCTTTTACTAAGGCTTTCCAACGATTTTTTTTCTTGTAATTTTTAGGACACATTAGTCAACTTCTAGAGAATTCATGTTTCGTCAGTTGTTCAATATTTGAAATAATCAGCTTTAGTAGATACCTTTTAAAATGAAAGTGTGTTCAGATTACATCTTGCAATTGGCATGGACATGGTATTATAAGCTGAATTATGAACTAAATCAATAACCAGCCAATCATAGCCCGCCCACATCTCGTCAAATACAAGACGGATGTCAAATAACAGTTGCTATATGACGAGCGTAAGAATCTTTTCCTCTTTTCGTAGAAATGTTTGCCTTCCTATTTGCATTTCGTGATGTTTCAAAGGTCAAGAACATTGAGCAAGCCTTTTTCTGACATCATTGCGACAATATATGGTAATTTTCTCCAGTCAACCACAAAGAAATCAAACGGTAGCTGCGTGGAAGACGCCCCCTCCCCAGGTAACTGAAATCCCCCCATCTTAATTTTTAACGGGGCTAGAGAACCCTGCGTTTTCATCAGGTGAGGTATATGTGCTCAGAATACTTCACGGTAGTTAATAATGGGCCGCGAATCGACAAACACAGAGCTGTCGTTTGTAGTTCAGATGTGTTCACTGCACGTGTTTGGAATGGAGATTATCTACGAACCACGTATCATAATTGGACTGGCAACTTGCTTCTACAAGAAAATAAAGCAACACGAACGCGAACATAAAACACAATTTCAGTGTCAACCAACTTCGCCATAGCTCTTGCCTCATTGTCAAATAAACATCAAGAATTACAGGCCACGCATTCAATGAAGACTAAAACGTACCATATTGACTACGAATGTGAACAAACAGAAACACGCACAGGTGATTTTGGTAACAGGGCATGAAGAGTCGAATGAAATGTGCAGAAAGATGCTGAATGACTTTACATTCAGCACCAAGGACAGGGCTCGTTGTGTTTTCCATATAAACAACATTACTAACAAGAACCTAGACAATTTCGCAGTCACGCGTAACACGTAGCTACGCTTTTTGACGTCTTGTCGACACCCACGTCCTCATTATATACATGAAATTCACCTCGCCGCGTTTGCAGCCAGGCGCATGTTAGGCCATGTTGATTTGATTATATGGATGACATCCACGCGCGCATGAATTTTCGGCCGTTTCCAAAAAAAAAAATTACTAACCAATACTGTAAATACGTACAAAACAAGTTG